TATCAAAACATATATATATATATATATATATATATATATACACACACTAAGATCTCACTATACTTGCTGTGTTATATATATATATATATATATATGTCAACCACGTGAAGCAAAAGGACTTCAATTCCTTTTGAGATTAGAAGATTGGTTAAAACAAATCAAATCATAACAAATCTAATTTAAACGGTGGATTTGATTTTGAATTTTAAAATTCAAAGTAAAAAAACAACGAGAAAAGACAATAAATTCCAAAGAAATTCGGAATATTAAATAACTAAAAATTTAAAATGCACAAATTGGGCTCTTTTATGGTCTCTTAGCTAAAAAAGATGAGCTCATTGTCTCATAAAACCATATGGTGATTAAATACAATTTTTAAATCCTAAATTCAAATAAAAAAAATCTCAACACTAAATTCAAAAGGATCTTTTAATTCCCCATAAGGTCATATACCGAGGAATTATCTAAATACAACTTTTAAATCCAAATTCTAAAGTAAAATTCCAAATCAAATTTTAAAACATCTTTGAATTCCTCATATTGTCATATAACGGGGAATACTCCAAAATCAAAATTCAAATTCAAGAACTGTCACGCCCCCAAATAGGAGTTAGTGACGTAGAGGCTTATTTAGAAATTAAACCTGATTAAGAGAGTGATTAAACCGTTAACATTTTAAAATTTAATTTTCAATCCAAAACACTCAGGTATTTCCAAACAAACCCCGTTATTTTAACGAAATCGAATTTTAAGAAAAAGTCAAGCGGACTTTAGAAAACACAATTACTGTTAAGATCAACATAAAAAATCAGCCTCCGGCGTCCACAAGGTTACACTTGTGCATACGTAATTAAATACATAAAAGTAAATAACTGACATCAACCACAGTCTAGTAAAGTTTAAGGTTTTACAATCCATAGTTAATGCATGCCTTAATGAGTCTGATCAAGATGAAAACTGCTTCACCACTTCCTTTCTTCTAGAACTGAATTGCTCACCTATTTTGCGCTACTTCTAGCGTCGCCTGGGTGGGGTTAAATACGTTTAAAACATAGAAAAATGAATAAACGGCCCAGCAGGATAAGATTTTTAAAACTGAATAAGTAAGTACGTAAATAAAATGAATAATCAGGCCCGAAAGAAATCAATCAGAACCAAACAACCTTTTTCTGAAAGGTAAATAAACTGAAATTCCAAATTACAGGCAACCATCAAGTAATTTAAGTAATTAAATTACTTACGACCAAAGCAAGCCCTTAATACCACCGTAGTGGCCTGTCCGGGTTTCGGGTTCTACCCCCAAGGATATGATCTGCATATCATATCTAGGCCATTAGCGGGCTTACTAGTTCGCAAGGTATCTTATCTTAAGAAAATATTCATTAAAAACTTGAAATCAGTCCATTATGAGATTAATAGCAATAATCAAACTATTATCCTTAAACAATTTTCTTTATCAAACATGTGTTATCTTTTAAAAACATTTACATAGCCAAAATAATTTAAAACAGGCTAACAAGAATAGGGGAAGAATATCTTACTTCTTAGATGTCAAACCTGTAGCTAACTTCTCGTCACCCTAACTTCCGCTTTCCTTAAAGCTTTAATACTTAACCTTCTCCACTAGCTTTATCACAAAAGCAATATCTTAGGATATATTTCTCATTCTTAAAATGAATTAAGATTAATCATGTTTAATTGTTTCCTATTAGTGTACCTTGACTCAAATCCAAGCTTCACAAACGATTTTATAATTTAGTTTGGGGGTTCTTTAAAAATTAAAATCTAATTCATGAGTTTGGTTTCCTATTTAATTTCAGCGTAAAAATAAATTTTTAAAGAAATTTCGACAGCATGCGGACGTAAATAGGAAAAATGCCAAACTTACAATTCAAGTTCAATTTCAAAATAAATTCTCCAGAAATTATCAAAACCAGTTTCCAATCAATTCAACAAGTCCAATAACTGAAAACCCCAAATTTAATTCAATTTTAACAATAATTGTTCAAATTTCAACCCCAACTCAAAATTATTCAGATATAACAAAAATTTCAAATTCTCAAATTCAAGTGTGAGTTTTTAAGAAATCTTTACCTCAAAGTAATTGAAGCTTGTTTCTCTCTATTTCTCTCATTTTTGTTTTTTTGTTTTTTTGTTTTTTTTGAGTCTCTCGGCCAAACAGCCGAGTGAGAGAGAGAGGGAGAGAGAGATGGCGGGAGAGAGAGAGCCCAGAGAGAGAAGAGAAGGCCGGCGGTGGAAGAAAAAGGGAGAGAGAGAGAGATGTGCTGCCGTGGAGAACCAGAGAGAGAGAAGAAAAGGAAAAAAAGGAAAAAAGAAAGAAAGACAAAAAGAGAGGGTTCTGAGGGAACCCACGGGGAAAGAATAAAGGGAAAAGAAGAAAAGGAAAAAAAATGACAAAATGGAAAAAAAAAATGAAAAAATGGAAAAAAAATACATTAAAATTTAAGTGTATTTTTAAAAAATTTTAGAGTAAAATTATAAATATTAAAAATAATTTAAAATTTCTTAATTAATTGAGAAAATTAAATTAGGTGCACTAATAACTCACAATTAGTATAATTAAACATACTTAATTCGGAATATTAAATACCTAAAAATTTAAAATGCACAAATGGAGTCTCTTTATGGTCCCTTAACACAAAAAGATGAGCCCATTGTCTCATAAATCCATATAGTGATTACATATAATTTTTAAATCCTAAATTCAAATAAAAAAAATCTCAACACTAAATTCAAAATGATCCTTTTAATTCTCAATAAGGTCATATACTGGGGAATTATCCAAATCTAAATTTTAAAGTAAAATTCCAAATCAAATTTTAAAACATCTTTGAATTCCTCATATGGTCATATATCGGGGAATTCTCGAAAATTCAAATTCAAATTCAAGAACTACGATTGACTTAATTCCCTATGGGATATGTAGGCAACCTAAAATTTAGGTGCAGTTCAAAAAATCCTCATAAAAGACAATCAAAACAAAACTAAATCAAATTTCAAAGTTGATCAATTCCTCATAAGATCATACACCGGAGAATTATCTAATTTTTTTAAAAATTCAAAATTCGAACTACAAGTGGCTTGATCCCTCAACGGGGTATGTAGGCAACTCGGCTAAATTCACCGAGTTCAGCCGTAATTTTAAATTAACCCAAATTAACAAAAAATAGTATTTACTGTTTTAATTGGAATCAAAAGGTTTTCCCTTGTACTAAGGGATTGTAATTGAAAGATTATTCTTATAATCTTGAATGGGTCGAATTAAAAAAATAATAAACTCTTGTGCTAATTAAATCTTAGTATAGGTAAAATTATGTTCTGTGTGAAACATTATTACAATATTAATAAATATTTTCACTCGACATGGTGGATAAATGTTGTCAGGTTTCTTTTAATGGTGTTTGCTTATTTATGCTAGAGGTCCTAAAGCCTCATAATTTAGAGCTTTTCTGTGTTCTGGCTTGGTCTATTTGGAAGGACAGGAACAATTTGGTCCACAATGACATCTCAAAACCTTTAAATGAGCTGTTGGAGGATGCTAGCTTGTACCTGGCGGGATTCCAACGATGTCGTGTTATCAACTCTGCCCCTACTACTAAAGTTTCGGCACCAACTTCTTGGTCAGCTCCTCCTACTGGTGAACTAAAATTAAATGTTGATGCAGCTGTTGTCGAGCAGGCGGATTTTTTCTCAACAGGAGGAGTGATCCCCAACTCAAATGGGGTAGTCTTGGGTGCTTTCTGTAGGAGACATTTTAGCTCGGTCTCGCCGTTCATTGCCAAGGGTCACGCGATGAGGGATGGCCTTTTGTTTGCAGCAGAAAATGGTTGGAGAATTCAGATGGTGGAGACTGATGCTCTGAAGGTTGTTTCTAGTGTTAAAACTAAATGTTTCTCTGGCCTTCATGGTGCTTTAATCAGTGATATTTGTAATTTGCTTGAGGCTTGTATGTGTTCATGTACTTTCAGACCCCGGTTTGTTAACGGGGGTTGCTCACACCCTTGCTAGATTTGGCTTGGCCAATGATGGCTTTTCTTCTTGGGTGGAGTCTCTTCCTAGCTGGTTATCCAGCTTTGTTTGTACTGATTTTCTTCCAGTTTAATATCAATCCCATTTTCCTTTCAAAAAAAAAAAAAAAGTTTGATGTCGTTTTCTTAGCGCAACATGTTTTTCCTTGTAAAGAGGATCTGCCTAAAGAGGAAAAATATACGAGCCCAGTCTCGTCTCGTGGTGTTAGCTTGTCAGCCAAATTTCATTCTTATGAAATCATTTAGTTTTGGCTATTTACAATGCACGGATAACATTAATAAACCTAAAATAAAACAATGATGAATATCATGAATCTAAAAAAGGTGTCGTATCATACAAGAAAGAATTTAGTACTATCGTCATTTTTCACATGAAAATCTTACTGAAGACAACAAGTAGCGGAACTCTGATTCATAAGGCTGAACTTCTACCATTTTGCTAATAGGTGTCTTTGCTTCCCCATTCAAGCACTCCATTATCAGTCTTTTCAACGACCCAGAACGCGGCAATTGGCTATAAATCCATTCCAATAAAGATTCCATGTCGTCTGCGAAGTCGCGCATATGCCATTGAAGAAGCTTGGGGACAACAATCTTTTTCCTGCTTGTAACTCCGATTGAAGCTTCCAAGTACTCCAGTTTTGCTCTCTCCATTTCGTTAGCTATGTTGTCAGGGGTGTACACCCTTAACTGCATTGTGAAATGGCTTATAGTTATAAAACCCAAATCTAATCAGTACGTAAGAATAGTTTTACTTTCTTTTTTCAATAACTACTAGGTCAAACGACATGTGGTAAGGTAGGGTGAGATTTTGGTTTGTGAGGACTCATTTTCCATCTAGTGTTGTATCAAGACTTTTTTTTTTTTTTTTTTTTTTTTCAATTGGCACACCTAAACTTGTCAATGTTTGGTAACTTGGATTCTAAACTTTCAATTTTGCAAATGGGACTTTAATTTAAAAATAATAAAGCTAACATAAATGTACCTAATACTTTTCATAGGTTGCAAATTGGATCTGAAATTTTTAATTTTGGAAATCCTAGTTGACGTTTGTTACTAATTGGACTCCATTGCCAAGAAAAGTCAAGTTTAGAGTCCTATAGGCCAATATAAAAAGTAATTCGGAGTCGAACTTTGACTAAAAATTCAGTATAAATTGATGCAAATTACTCTGAATAAGGTGCTGATAAATTAAGTGAGATGAGATAATACGAGATTAATATCCACTTACTGCTGGTGAAGACCATGTGCCACGGCATAGAGCAAATGTCACATTAGGCTCCGGGTACCCCAGACCATAGGCATGTCGAAGTAACATTTCTTTCTCATAAGCAGGTCCCTTCTAATTAAATTGCATGTAAATAAATTAGATAAAAATTCAGAAGAAGAAATGCACACACAGAATTCTGTAGAAGCTTAACGATTTTTAGTATTTTTCACTATCTTTCAATGTCGGAAACTTTAATCTATGTACTCGAAACCTTCTTGGTTGTTACCCTACTAAAAATTGTTCAAAACAATTATTGGAGATGAGGAGGACATGATTATCCATACGGGAGAACTTGAGAGAGAATTTCCTATCATGACTTACGTACATGTTTTGATTCAGAAGGATACCGGAGAATAAAGTGCTCGATAGCGAGGGCATTCAGTACTATCCCGCCCACATTCAGTGTAGCCTGGTTAAAAAATAATGCCATGTTTTATTTATCAGCCTGACATAATGTTAGAAATTATTTTGATCGTCATGGTGATTATGATAGTTCTTTGAAGTTATGTCCTTGAAAAATTATGTACTATTACTATGAAGTGGAAAATATTCCACATACCTTGTTCATTAATGCCAGCAACTTATCCTGTGTGGAGGGCAGGCCATGTTCCAGAAATGCCTGAAATTTTCAAACACTATTAGAAAGTTTATTTAATAATAACCATCTTTGATATTTAAATTTCTTTTGATTTTTTTTTTTTGTTATATATAGGTGTCTTACAGTACATGCATTATGCAGGCATTGTAGATGTTGATCCAGAAAGCTAACTTCTGTTTGTACGTCAAGAAAGTCAAATCCAAATCACACAGCTTATGCATCAAAACCCTGAATTCAATCATAGAAAAACCCATAAATGAGAACACAAGTTTTAAGCAACTCATACATATGCCAAAAAAAAAAAAAAAAAAAAAAAAAAAAAGGAGCACACAAACGCATAAAAAATAAAAATAAAAAAGTAAAAAAAAAAAAAAAGAAAAGAAAAGATACGCACATATTGAATGAAGTTGTGAGCAAAGTTAACCTGAGTTTTCTAATCCCTGTCAAACACCGAGAGAAACGGCTGATATCTAAAGATGAAGTGGTGATATGAATGAAGTTCTTGTAGGGGCCCACATCCCTTGTGGAGCCATATTCCAAATCTGGGAATATGCCATAAGGGTCAAAGTTTGAAGAGTTGTAGTTGAAGAGAAATGTGGGTGAATATTTGCAGTTGATCAATGAGGTCTTTCCCGTGAACCCTTTTGAATTCATGCACGAGAGGGCGATCTTCGGAACGTTCGGTGGCGCTGATCCTTCTTTATCTAAAGATGTCTGCTTTAACTCAAGAAATATGCCTATTAGACACTTGAGCAATTCTTCTGAGATTTCATTTGGCTTCACAATGCCAATACTTGTTGTATTGTCTACTTTGCCCCTGTTTGTTCCCCTTCCACTAAGTCTCCTTGATATATCAGCAATTTCTCCTGTTCAAAAACACACCAAAAGGGGGGAAAGGGGGGACCATTAAAAGGGTATGTTTGTAATTTTTCTTTAGGCATTTTTTAAAAAACTTATATAAAAAGAGTACAAAGGATTCATAAGTTGCTGAGCATTGAGAAACAAAGCATTCATTATTGATTGTTTCCTTTCCCAAAAAAAAAGAAAATGATAATGTGGATTGTTTTGTCTTTACAACAATGACTAGGATGACACACACATTAACAAGTAACATTTGCCAAGCATTACAAAGGAAAACAAGTTTCTGTAAACAAAATCACAAATAACACAATTTACAAAACTCAATGGCAGGCCTTGATTAACAATAGCAATTTCCAATTAATTTAGACAAAGGAGTTTACTATTTGAGGCAGTGGAAGACAAGCTTCTGATATCCGAAGCAGAACTCAAGGATGATCTTCTATCACCTGCAGCACTCACTCTTTCCTGCCTCAAAACCTCGTAATTCTGCGATCTAGACCGTTGATCATTCACGAGCACTGACCGATGATTTGCAGCTTCGCATAACATGTTATTATTCTGCTGCAAAACTCTCTTTTGATGTCTTATCTCACATTCTCTGGCCTCTCCTCTCTCTTTGTACAATTGCAGTTTCAGCTCATCAACTTTTCTTTCCAAAAGAAATATCTCCTCCTCAATCATTACAAGCTCAGCAAGTAGCACTTGAACCTGCAATTCATACCTTATTTTCACATCTCTTGCGACATATATATTTTAATATACATGCTAGTAAGTATATATCTAAAAATAATAGCAAAAACCTCTCATGTGTTTTATTCGAAATATTGCATTCTATCTTGAGGTTGGATTCCTATGTTTTCAAGAATGCTGCGCCATATTTTTTTTATGTTCACAAAATGCGCTTAAATTGTAGTATTCGTTTCACAAATTGCGTTATAAACCTCTCCGCCTCCTTCAAAATGTGTCAAAAATATAGTGTGTGAATTTTAAAATTCAGGGGATAGGTGTAGTATTCATGAAAATATAAAGTGGACAAATATAAGAGGTTTTTGTTTATATAAAATGAAACAGTGTTTGGACAAAATACATAACATATTGTGTGTATACATACATACATACATACATATATATATATATATATATATATATATATCAGTGGTGTTGCAGTGAAATATATACATGTGGCGGAAGAAATGAGGAAAGGCAAGGATGTGAAAGCATAGGCCCGTCGAGAGCATATTGCAAAACGTTTCTAAGCGTTTCCTCTCCTTCTAGTTCTGCTTGCAACTTCTTAACCTACAAGAGCGTGTAAAAAAATAAAAAATGGTTTTGGATTGAATAAACAGAAAAACCCCAGACGGGAAAATTAAACGAGGGAAAAAAGGTCATGATGATGATGATCACCTCATCCTCGAGAGCAAGTCTCCTCTGCTGCTCTTCAGTGCTTCTCTGCATTAGAAGCTCCTCAAATTTCATTATAATGGTGTTTTTACCGCCACGCAAAGTAGAGCTTTTAGTTATGTAGAGCCAGAAAAGGAGGCTCTTATATTGTTGTTATGTAGACAAAAAGAAACGGATTGGTTGGTTCATTTTGGTTTTGATGGAGGTGGTGGAATCGTGGGCGCCATTAAAGGTTAGGTGGGAAGGGAAAGGGACGAAAACAAAGCCAAGAAGGACTGAAAGGAGGGAAAAAAAAAAAGGGAAAGTGCGGTGGAAGAATATGAAAATGAATATAGTGAATGAGAATGGAGATTGGACGGTTGGAATTATTGGGTGAAATGTATAGTTCTCACGTGAAAACTCTTTTTGAGGGACGACGTGAAGCGCATGAACAGGGGAAGCTAAAAAGGACATATAATAATAGTAGGTGGTGCTACTACTATACTAGTAGGTATTATATGGGAATTAGGAGGAGTTTGTTTGTTGTGTACACAAATTACCAAGTACTACTACTACTAGGAAAAAAAAAAGACAAAAAACAAAAACTTAATTAGGAAAAAAAACTACAACAACGATAATTGGGAGATCAATATCGCCGTCTGTGGGAATCGAACCCACGACCACGTGGTTAAAAGCCACGCGCTCTACCGGCTGAGCTAAGACGGCTTCATGCTGTTTAAGTATTAAATAAAAATACTAATTAAAAAGTAAAATTAAAATCCAAGATCACATTCTGATAAGAATAAAATTAAAATGATCATTGATATTTGAATAGAAAAATTACTTTTAATGCAATGTCAGTCTTAATATATCAAATTTGGCATCCGTTAGATTTGATGGTAAATTTGACACCAAATGTGATATATGTTAATTTTTGATATTTGATTGGTATTAGTTGATACTTTTCTTTTTCTATTATAATATTTTTATTTTTAATTTTTTTTAAACTTAAAAATATATTTTTTACAACTTTCAAAGCTTAATAATGATAATGACAAAAGGTAAATATAACATTTGAAATGACATTATGTATTAAAGCACAAATCAAACTAACATATCTATGTTTGACTTTGCATTGAAAATGATCGAAGAATACTAGTTTTGTGTTATTAGTAGGGGAAGAAACTTGAGCTATTTATTTTTTTTAAAGGAAAATGACAAACTACAGACACAAAATTAATTGTAGATGGCCATTCGTTACAAGGAAATTTGATACTGACAATTGATTGGAACCACCAATAAGAACATATAAAGAATATGGCACAAATAAAAGTACCAAGACCCAATGAGGAAAGGCTCACTCGACATATAAAATTTGAGTGTGAGAAACTCGTTAGAAGGGACACTATGGTCAATGTATTAAACCAGTTGACCAAGACCAAACTGCAAATAATGGGGACATAAACGACATGACATAGATACAAATCTAGTTGGACACAAAGAAAACATGATGGTAGGAAAACTACCTCTATTATTACAAGACAAGTCGGACACGCTCTCGCATCCAATACTTAAAAAAAGGTGAAAGCAACATCACCTTTATTACATACCAAACACAAAAACAATAAAAAAAACCTAAATTAAAAAGAAAATCTTAACACCACAGAGAGAACAAATGGTGACAATTCGACCATCACGACCCTCAAAATCAATGAAAGCAAACTAACAGAGGACCAAGAGCATCAGAGAAAAATAAGCCATTCGCCAGCGTATGAGATCTACGCGCCGCCATCGCCTTCTACCAACCTTAAGATGTGCACTATCACAGGAGGCACAACACCCTGGGTATAAAGATCACCAAGCTGATGAAGCATCAGGGCCCCCACATGCCTTACTCAGGTGAAAACATCTATTGCGCCACATCTGCAGCTGAGCACAACTGCCCTCACGTTCCCCATCGTCAGATCCGCCTCAATGAGACATCAACAGACTTGAGACATCAAGAGAGCATGGTTGTCACAGTACCAACGGACCCTGTAAATGCAATAGGATGATCGACTTCCACCTCCATCCATATCACCAAATCCCAACTTCAATAGCCATGAAACCAACCAAAACACCCACATCCTTACCAAGGAAACTTTCTTTGGCTAAAAATTTGACAGCCAACCAGTTGGCGGCGCCGTATTCTTTGTTGGGATCTATATGTGCCCTAAGGATAGAAAATCGATTCTAGGGATTTTCTGTAGATTGACATTTTGATATTAATAAAAGAGGTTATTCATGTTTATTAAGTGGTGTCCTATTTACTTTCATTTGTTGAATGTATGATTA